TGTTGTAGTTGTAATTCTGGATGTGATGAAGAGCTGGAGACTGTGAGACTGATAGGCGATAGGAGAGGAGCTATGTTTTGTAGGTGGAAAAAGGCAGTTCTGGTGATTTGATTGACGTGGTGTTCGAAGGAGAGGTTGCTGTCAAAAATGACTGAGGTTGGCTATGTGTCGGGACAAAGGACCACACCAAGGTTTTGCTCTGGTAAAACGGAAGCAATGGGGAAGATGGTCAGACAAAGTCTTAATACTGGGGTTCTAACAAACATGTATTTTTATTATCTGTTATACTGCCGATTATTTTGTCAGTTAACTGACTCATTGTTTACTCTATTGCATGTCACAAAAATAATAAAATAATGTCCATGCCAATTTCCTTAAGCTAAAGATTTCCTCAAATTGCTTGTTTTCTCGATCGACACTCCAAAACCAAAAATATATTAATTTAACTATCAAATAACACAAAGAAAAGCAACACATCCTCACAAGCTGATATTAAGTTATTGGGATTTTTTTTTTTTTTTTTTTAAGCAAATTGCGCTCCTCTCAGCTCTAATCAAAGAGCAGTGTGTGTAATTTAGTGTCATCTAGTGTTGATGTTACAGATTGCAACCAACTGAATACTCCTCCCCCCGCCCTTTAATTTCCAAGCATGTAGTGGAATCATGGACTGTATAAAATAATGAAAAAGCCACTGTGACATCACCCATTGATTCCTGGACTCCCATGTTTAAGCCTCAATTTGGCATTTTGACCGTCGCCATCTTGGATGTTTGGAACCAGAAGTGACCATATTGGGATGAGAGTTTGGAGATAACCCCAACGCTAGCTGCTAGTTTATTTAGCACTAGCATTTACAGCTATGGTTAACTGTGATAATATTAATGCTAATTTTTGCTCGCAAAAAACAGGCTTAAAACCATTAAATCATTGTTTTAGTACAACCAAAACTGAACAAGACTTAATTAGGTGACTAAAATGTTATAGTTAACTTCCATGAACTGAAAACACACTAAAATAGCAACAGCTATGGCTACGTCTATACTCTGGAGTTACGCCATGGTCACTTTATCCACCCAGCTTTGTCACTGTGGTAGCAACTTGTCAACTCAAAGTGGCCATGCCATTAATTATGCATAACTTAAAGAAATTATAAAATTTAAGAATTTACCCCAAAGACACCAAAACTGTTTTTTGTACCAGGCTGCCTTAAGTTGTGCATTTTAACATGGGGGGTCTGTGGGGATTAAGTTACTCTTGGCGCCAGCCTCAAGTGGCCATTGAAGGAACTGCAGCTTTCGGCACTTAATTACTGGCTTCATTTTCCAACTGTAGAGGTTGCTACGTGAGTAGGACCGACAGTAGCCTTCAGGTAGCGTAAAAAAAAACACGAAAGGTCCTCCTTATAGCCAGTGTTTGGTTTGTCAGTTTTGTGCTATTGATAAAACATGGCAGTAGAAATTGGTGGACTCCAGGGATGAGGACCTGCTCCCTATGAAGATATAACAGCCTCATTCTAAGCTAAGGAAGACACAGTCCTTAGTTTCAGCTGATTATATTCCATTTCTGCTCACAGATCCTTTGACATCCTACACACTTTTCCTTTAATAGTTCAGACAAAATGCGTCATTTGATGACAGCAGTAAAGAATAATGCAGCACATTTAGAGATGCATAACAAAGTTACTTTAATGTGGCACACAAAACAAAGGAGCAGCAATAGAAACAAATCTTCACATGGTATTGGCTACCTCTTTGTGATGACCTGCTTGAATTTGTATTTTTCCAGACTTTAAATGGCTTATATTATATTAGTCCAGTGTGGGGATTTACTGTTTGTTCTATAATTTTGATCTGTTTAGTGCAACAGTCTCGTCAAAGTAGTCTAAAAGTTTCACCAAAAGTTTCCACATTGATTTTTAACATCTTATTCAGTCACTGACCTTTTTGTTGAGCTGATGACATTTGGCTATTTAAGTCACATTTCCTCACATTCAGTCGTCTTCTTGCAGAATGAATACACAGTTGTAGTTCCAAAAAGGCTTTTTCCGCCACCACTATTCCAAGTTTAGCAGCAGAAAACACTCTTCGTTTAACACGCGTCAAAACAGCTGCCGGCTTTAGATCTTAATAAGCAGGACTTAATAAGTCAGACATCAGATTAACTTCGGCTAAGCTCATTTACATCTCTAGTCTCAATAAATACCTTGTTACATTGAAAAAAATTGCAGTGATGCTAAATTTTGCAACCTGATGGCAAGTTGTAGTGGGCTTAGCGAATATCCCCCACAGATGCGTGATCATCTGGTACAGCAGCAGTAAACACAGCAGCCTCCCAGATCTGAGAGGTCTGTTTCTCTGCTTAGTATTCTGCCCTGACTCTTTCAATCTGTATCCTGTCAGTCTGCTTCAGCATTTCCAATTCAGTATAGTGACATTTTGAAATTTCTTCAGTACCAATCAGCGGACACGCAAACAGGACAGAGCACAATTTTGTTGCATGTTTGCCCTTGTCACTGTGATGGACACAGTCAAAAACAAATTGTGCGAGAGGAGTGAGGAGGAAAAGAAGAATGAGAGATGTGTAAAAAAGATCAGGTGCAAGTGAAACAGCAGAAACAGGGCTGCTGGAGACAAATAGGAACAGAGGCAGTTTGAGATGAGGCGGGTTAGACTGAGGGGAAAGAAGAGGAAATGAGAATGGGAGAAGAGAGGAAGAGGGTCAAAGAGAGAAAAGAGAGGAGGATTAAAAATGTCAATATGGTCAATGAGGCTAATGGCAGTAAATGACATTCTGTCTTTTATCTCTTTCTCTGTCTCTGCAGGTTTGCCACAGAACAGGAAGCCAGACTTTGGGCCAGAAATCCCTAAACAACACACAATCACACACACACACACACACACACACAAACATTTGATCATGACATAAAAAACTTTCTAACTTTACTGGGAGCAGTGGTTCGTGCCTTAGGGGTTGCACAGAAACACACACACACACACACACACACACACAGACAGCCAACAAAAGTAGTTGTTTTTGCAGGAGAAAGACAACAGTGTGTGTGTGTATGTATGTGTGTGCAGGTGAATTAAGCAGGTGTTTATATGGCATCAGATGAACATGGGCAGGACAGACAGCTGGCATAAAGTGGGTACTGCAGGCGTCTTACCATGGGATTACAGTGTAGCCGATTAGAGCGAAGCAGCAGTCACCTTAAGCTCACCAGCTTCATGAAACTTACGCTGCCAGGCAGTGGGGCGTGCACAAACACACACACCGGCACAGCTGTAGAACACAATTAAATTAGTGCAACTGGCAGACGGTGTGCAGCCCTAGCTTAACACCATACTCATATTAAATCACTGGCACAAAGACGTGCACACACACACACTCACACACACACACTGGGCTGGAGGACAGGCGCTGCCCCCACCCTTCCTCCCGTCATCCTCGCAAAGCCAGCTGGAGAGAAGATGAGATTTGGGGCTGATTGGTTTTGTCTTTTTTTCTATCACAGCCTCTGCACATCACTCCATCCATCACTTTTGCCTTTCCTTGGTGCAGCTTCATCCTCGGGTGAACCGTCGTCATAAAAATCTTTCCATCAGAAGAACATCAGACAATCCGCTTGTGATGCTTTGATTACTTCTCAGAAAGTTATTTTTGCTTTTATCTTTGTGTTTGTTTTGGGTTTTTTTTCATCTCGATGGGTACAGAGTGGAGCAGGGAAAGGACTTCCTGATTAGTTGTTGGACTATTTTTTTGTGATTTCTAAATACCATATCAGCCAAGCTTGGCAGAACCCCATCAACTGCAGAACTGACATCTAGAAGGTGATGGTTGCAAATGCTGCACAGCATCATCAAGTCTCCTGCTACCCTTATAGACAATGTTTTTCATCTTATTAAGATTTCATCATTCATCATAAAGAATTGAAACTTTTACACCAGCTTTTTCAAACTTTGTGTCTGAGGAAAGTGTGCAGAGGAACGGCATCAGAGGGGTGCTTTAAACTCGACACAACTGCTATTCACCAAGTAGCTCTCAGAGCCTCAGTGAAACAGGCAGACAAAGACAATGGACTGAAAGGGGTGAAAGAGGAGAGGAAAGACCTTGAGATGGAGAGAGACTAGGCGAGGCGAACCTCGAGAGAGAAAAGCAAAACAGCGAGTGAAAAAGCAGAAGAGTGAATACCGAGAAAACGGCAGAGGAACCAAGCAGCCAAGGAGAAAAAAGAGGAAAAGAGTTTTTTTTTTTTTTTGGTCTAGGATGGCTAGAAACGTGATGGAGCACCCTTCAGGCCAGACCTCCTCCCTTCTACCGCTCCTCCTCCCTCTCCTCCTCCTCCAATCTTCCCTCCCTCTCTCCGCTGCTCTCAACTAGTCTGCCAGCTTTCTTTGGCTACGTCGCTTCAGTGGAAAGAGAGAGACAGAGAAAGAGAGAAAGCGGAGCGCTGGAGCCGAGCTCACCATTCACACAGATGGCAGAGAGAACGAGAACGACCTGCTGCATCCATCCACGCCGTGCGCTGGATTTCACTGAAGATGGACATTGCAGTTAATTCAAAGAAAAAAAGAGGGAGGGAAAAGAGAGAGGTGGAGGTAAAGACAGTGGAAGCCAGACAAGAGAAAGTTAAAAACTAAAGGGAGAGGGAATGAAGAAAGCATAGAAAGGTGAAAAGAGCAGAGACTGTGATCGAGGAGATCACCTCTCACTGAAAGCAAAGGAAGCAGTCAGGCTACAGCTGTGTGTAATTCAGCTGCGACTCCAGTGTGTGTGCGTGTGTGTGTGGACACATTTGTGTGTGTGAGACGAGCAGATAGCTGTGAAGAGAGAGGGAGACAGAGAATCCAGCGGGAGACAGAGAGAAAGCGTAGCGCACAGCTTGACTGTGAGACAAATTGACTCTGACACACTGTCCTCCGTCAGAGTGTGTGTGTGTGTGTGCGAGTGTGTGTGTGTTTTTACTAGTCTGATATAGTGGGTGATCCTGTGATCCAAAGTGTTAGTCAGGGGGTCGTCCCAGTCACGCTGACCGGGCCTTGGTGGTCGTTGCGTGAAGGCGGCAGCTCAGGAGGTGGTGGTGGGCTGGGGACAGTGGCAGGCCTAGGGGTGGGGGCATGGCCGTGGGGGGGCCGCATCCCGTCCTCCACCCTGCACCGGGACAGGCGCTGGGGCTGGGGGTCCTGGGGCGGGGGTTCATCCAGGGGAGCTCCCAGACTGTCCGAGCTCAGGCCGTGGCTGAGCGGAGGGGCAGTCGCAGCGGCAGGAGGCGGAGGTAGTACTGGGGGAGGAGGCGGGACGGAGAAAGGAGGCAGGGTGAGATGTTCACGCAGGCTCTGGGTTCTCCTTGGCTCGCTGGTTCTAGTCTTTCTCACCTCACTGTTCTTCTCCGTGTCACTCCGTGGGGGTGTCGGCTTCAACTACCTGGAGCCGCCTGGGTGGGAGGAGTCGAGGCGGGTGAAGTTAGTGCCGAGCTACGTGGGCGCACACAGGCTTTCACCACCCGACACCACGCAGCAGAAGACCTGTGCCTGCCCACGCTGTGTCGGAGACCCCGGCGTTTCTGATTGGTTCGATGAGAACTACGACCCGGACATCTCACCTGTGTGGACCAGAGACAACGTCCAGCTGCCCTCTGATGTCTACTACTGGTGGGTGGTAAGTAACACTTTAACTTAATATCCTAGAGTTGTGACACAAATAGTACATTAAGTGTATTGACAAGTATTGTGAATGTTAAGTTTATAAATGTGTCTTTGGCAAGAGTTTGTGTGATACTTTATCTGTTCAAGATCATTTACACCTTCAGTGGTATGAGGCTGAAGGAACAGTTCATCATTTTGGAAAATAGGCTCATTCAGTTTTGTCCCAGAGTGAGATGAGAACATTGATACCACTCTCATGTTTGTACAGTAAATATGAAGTCACAGCCAGCAGCCAGTTATCTTAGTTTAGCATAAAGACTGGAAACAGGGGGAAAAGGCTGGCCTGGCTCTGTCTGAAGATAACAAAACCTGCCTACCAGCACCTCTAAAGCTCACTATATAACTAGGGATGCAATGATTTTGAAATTCTGGCCCGATACTGATGTTTAATATAACAATTTGGCCGACAACCGATATTGAACTGCTTTAAAGTAATCCAGCCTCTTTGAATGACAACAAAATCAATCATACACATTTATAAAACATCCTTTAATATAACCTTTCCCATGAAAAAACAACTTTCTTAAAAGATTCATAGCTGCTTCAGCAGCTTTTTTTACTTTATACATCATAATTCCATCTCTATTTATATTGCTGTAAAGACAGCAATAAATTGCTCCCTCAAACAACTGGATTTATTTGTTTTTCGCCAAAAGGTACATTTTACAAGATAGAATTGAGCACATCATGAGAATGTTGTATGTTTTGTCTTATACTCATTCTTTCTGAATAGACTTTGAATGCACCATAATATTACTCTGCATCCTCTGTCAGCTGTTTGTTGTGGCCACTGGCTGCTCAGAGCTCATGTTAACTAGCTCTCCTGATACTAATTTTAACAGGGATTCCTTGTTCACAATGTAGCATTATCAGGGGAAAAAAACAGGCTACGTCCTGAGATGAGACTATAATGAGTTAACTGCGTCCTTTCTTCCCAAATGGGAAGATCTCTGTTTGTCACACACATTTTTTCTGTTGTCAGCGGGTGGACTGGAGGCTGCTACAAGCCATCTCGTCACACAACAGTGAGATCACAGAGTCTATTTGCCAGTCATTATATCCTTCTTGCACGTACTCATTATTTAAGTTTGTGGCCATTAGTCTGGAGCCCTGCTTTTTAGCATGCGCAATCGAAAAAACATTGGCCCCTGCCATTGGTGAATGTCATCTTACCGGCTGACAGGCTGATGGCAGTCAACAAGGCGAATATCAGCTAAAACCAATGCCCAGCAGATAAATCAGTGCATCCCTATAAATAACACTTAATATGAAATCTTTTTCTTTTTGTACCTCCATGTGTAATAATGGATGGATGACATGACAGCTCCTCAAATATGATGCCATAATAACTTGAGCGCCCCCTGCTGGCTGGCTGCAGTATAAGTCATTAACCCCACCCGCTCCATGTCTGCAGATAGGACAAAGGCCAAATTAAAATATCAAAGTACTCAGTAATTTTTCTTCCCCAAAGATGGATTGTGTCATTTTAGGTAATTCTTACCATGCTGATGTGTCTTTAAGGGGTGTATGGGTGGAATCTCAATGTTGTGGCTCCACCCCGCAATTACTACTGTGCAGACTCTGGCTCCATTGGAAATATGAAAATGGAAATATAACATGTGAATAAGTGATCTTTAGTGGTGCTGGAAGGCAAATTTAGGGTGAGGGTTGGACAGAGCCAGCCTAGTTTTTTGCCCTGCCTCCAGTCTTTATGCAAAGCTACGCTAAGCTAAATGACTCTTTGCTCCAGCTGCACTCTTAACAGGCATGATCCTCTCTCATCTGTTCATCTGACTGTCATAAAAAGAAAGTGAAAGTGAAAATTTCCCAACATTTTGAACTATTTGTTTAAGGTAAGAACATCTGTATTCATCAACAACACAAGCGCTTAGAATACAATGCAACCAAAGACTTCTTATCCATGTTTGGTAAAGTTTTGCATTAAGTTTGTCACTCGGTTTGTCTCAGTATATCTAATATAGTTATAGCCATACATTTTCAGTTACAGTAATGTGTGGACATGTCCCCTTTAAAGGTCCAATGTGTAGGATTTAGTGGCATTTACTGGCAGAAATGGAGTATATAACTATGTTTTCGTGAGTGTTAATTCACCTGAAATTGAGAATCTTTGTCTTTACGTTACCATAGAGTGAGCCGATAAAATTGTTCTGTTGGCATACATTTTTGTTTGTAGAAAACTAATAGTAATAATCCTGATTAAAAAAAAAAAAAAAATGGGTGCAGTCTTTGTTTAGCCTTCAGCCGTTCTGGGTCTAAGAGTTCCTGGGTCCGGACCCCCACTGTGTCTGTTTTGATACCACTACTAGAAGTCATGGGGACATTAAATTAACATTAAATAGTAATTTTGTTTAAGTGGTTTTATTGCTGTGTTTGGAATAAAACTCCCAAAATGAACATTTACAGGACACTTTGCAGTACATTAGTATAGATGACATCAAGTCAACCTGCAAACTGTTTTATGATTTAATAACCCTACCTTCATTGATATGCATTAAAAACACACCAGTAAGATGGATTATGCACAATATTATCATTACAGCAATTACATTTTAGTATTCTTTTTAAGTTCATGTAGCACCATTAAACGCTTTTAATTTGTTTGTATTGCACAGAGGGGGGGAGTCAGTTACATGGGAAATATACGTTTATTAGGACACCAACGTAGGGGAAGTAATACATCATAATTGCAGATCTCTCTCCATTCTCCTTATCCTCCCTTGTCATTGAGCCAACCAATCCCCTCTTACAAGTACTACATGCTCCTCATGTATCCCTGCCAGTCATGTGTCGTGGTGGAACATTACACGTTTGGTCACTGGGCTTAAACTGCTACTGAGTAATGTCTGACAAACTGAAATGAATATGTCTTCAGACTCAGAGAGAGACGGGAAGCACTTACTTACAGAAAACTCGCATTAACACGCCATCACAGTGTATGTGTGTGTATTAGTCTTTGTGGTTGTATACCTATTTGTCAGTGTGTTCCCACTTGAATCGAAGTGTAAATGTGTTTCCAGTATTATCTCTAGTGTTGTACAGTGTCCTTCAGTAGTCAGTTTAGAGTCCTATTTCAGAGCTGTAGCCTCAGTCCAGCTCTGAAACGGCAGAAAACTGCAAACACAGGCTAACAGCTGCCAAGCCATTAGGTCACACTGCAACAGGGAGGTGATGAAGTGGGAGAGAGAAAGTAGGAGAAATAAATGAGAGGAAGAAAAGATGTGGAGAGGGAGGTTTGACAGGAAAGGAATAGGGGAGATCACACATAGAACAAAGCAAAAACAAGGGTAAACACTCAGGATAGGAAAATAGTTGTGGTAAAATTACAAAAGAGGGGAGTGAGGGATGAAACAGATTGCAAATAAACTAGAGAAATAGAGAGGAAGGAGGACAGAAAAACAGAAGGGGATAATATGGAGCATGTTGGAGAAAACAATGGAAGGGACTAGGGAACAAACAGAAGAAAGGTACAGGGCTGTACCAAGCAGGATAAACATACCAGTCTCTGCAGACCTATTAGAGCAGTGTATGTCTGTTTTTGACCTTGTGTTCTCTTGTCAGGGATGACTCTCTGTATCGGGGAGAACACCACGTCCAATTTCATGGAGTTGTCTTGCACTTCAATGTTGCCTTGATTCAAATATACTTATTCATTTATTCCGCTTATCCTGTTCAGGGTCGCACAGGGGGGCTGGAGCCTACCTCAGCTGACACTGGGCGTGAGGCGTACACCCTGGACAGGTCACCAGACTATTACAGGGCTGACACAGAGAAACAGGCAACCATTCACGCTCACATTCAAACCTGTGAGCAATTTAGTCACTACTTAACCTAATCTGCATGTCTTTGGACTGTGGGAGGGAGCTGGAGGACCTGAAGAAAACCCACGCTGACATGGGGAGAACATGCAAACTCCACACAGAAGGGCCCCAGCTGGCCAGTGGGTCCGAACCTAGAACCCCTGTGCTGTGAGGCATTAGTGCTAACCACTGCACCAGGCCTCCCTTACATATCCTATACACAACAAACCTTCTTTTTTGTTCCTCCAACCAAATGCTGGCCATGACTGCATCATGTCATTCCAAAATGTTAGAGTTATCAGTGGGTTTGACCCAAGAATTTTAGCTAGTTTGGGATATTTTACATGGTTTTAAACTGGGAATTTGGTGACATTTTTTTTAAATATCTTGGAAAATGCTTGGACAACTGGACAACATTTAGAAGGACCAGCAAGTCATTACCAGGCCCATGTGTAATCTGCATCCACAGAATTCCAACAACATCTCTGCAGATTTTCCACAGATTTAGAAAAAGTTTATATTGTCTATAACATTACGAGCAAAAAATACATTCAGCAGAATTCCACAGATTTTCCATTCTGGATCACAGCCGAAAAAATCTACAGATTCCATTTGGGTCTGGTCATTACTACCTTTAGGGATGGTACCTGTCGACTTAAAAGGGAATAAACATACAGTACCAAGTTAGGGCTCCTTCTGTTGGGAATCAGAAGACACGATAAGAGGTTGTTTCCTGGCAGAGAAATTAGAGCCAGGCATCACTGATGCACAGTGAGAAGTAGCCGTGTAAGTGCTCCCCAGTCAATTACTTGCTTTCTCTCTTCTAAAGGAAAATTCTCCAATCCAAAGTCATTTCATAAGGAGATTCAGTGTAACCACACAAAATGGTGGAATAACCTCTCTGCTAAGTCTTTTTTCTTTTGCATCACTTGACTTGCTTTTAATCCAGAGTCCAATCAGCCAATGTTAGGAAGGAAGGAAAACAAACGATTATGTGTGTGCATGATTGGAGTATATGCTCTTCAATCAAACCTAATGTGTTATTTTGCAATGCTGCCTTGGGGGTAGGGGAAGGAATCAAGCATTAAATGAAAGGAACATTTTGAAGAATGATTTCTTTGGGAAGGACTTAAGT